TATTCTTCAGAAACAGGTTTAAACTTATCAAGAATCACCCCATCATATACATCAAAATCACAACATGTTTCATAGTCATCAAGGTCGTTTCTTAGTTTCTGGACTTTATCTGTAAAATAATCAGCAAACTTTTCGGGTAGTTCTTGATCGCTAAAAGAATTCGGGAGACGTGTCTCTTTGATCCTCCCTATTAGTTCATCACAAATGCTGAACAATTTATTGTTTACATGATTTTGAATTTTCCAATTTAGAAACATAGTATTTCTTTTTAGCACATTTAATTACAAATTTCAGCCCTTGCTTCTTTAATCTAAAAATGTGCTTGTGGATGGTGAGCCCTGTTTTAAGCCATTGTCTCTCTGCCTTCCTGCATTCGATTTTGGCAGCTTTCACCTCAACTCCAAACCATGGTGCATACGGTCTAGTCGACAGACGACGAGTTACAAGTGGTGCGTGCTTGTCAAGAACTGCCCTAACAGTGGAATTATACAAATCAACACAGACTGTTTTAAAGTTACTTAAAGATTTCAACAAATCCATTTTAAACTTATTAATGTCAATTCCTTTGATGTTCCTTGTAGACACAGAATGTTTTTCAGGCTTGGTTTTAGTCACATTCAACACAAGTAAGTTGAAGTAATGGTCAGAAAATAGTTTGTCTTTTGAAATAAGCTACACATTGATAGCAAAGACAACACAGAAAACTCAAGCGTAACAGAATAAAACGTTAACAAATGAAATCATACTAAAGACACAGAATTGAGCGAACTCACTTAGTTGTGCTGTCAAAATTGATTCAGAAGATAGTAAAACCAACACACTGCAGTGTACATAAATATCATCATTATCCGTTTTGATTTAATAGTATTAAGTATAAAGAAAATGTGTCAAGTTTCTTTTGGAAAAGAGTATAAAAGTGGAGACATCAATTTATCAGAATCAGGGGGAATGTTTATGGAGTATGAGCAGGGCTGATTTTTATGGAAATGTTTCGCTTTAACTGGGGTAGACTACGTATTCGTTGTATTATTGACTGTTACTTTCTTTTTTTTTACAGTGGATGATGACGATGACAATGTTGTTGTTATTGTTTTGGCTGTCATCTGCTCTGTGTTGGTTGTTGGGATCATTTTGGGTGTCATTTTCTTTGTTTGCCGACGTAGAAGGCAGAAGCATCACAGGTAAGTTCAAATGAAGTCGACCATGAAAAGGGATTTTATCCTCTTAGTTTAAAAAGAAACAACTAACCAACAGCAACCAATGACAAAAAGTTACCAGCTTTAGTCTGCTGGGATAGCTAGGTAGGGAGTCAGGTCATCACATGACGTCTACACCTTTCATGGAGAACATTTACATACCCAAGTACAATCGGGAGAAAAGTAGAAACCACAGTATGTCTATTTCTCTAAGCTGTCTCAACAACTCTTTCGATTATGTAGCTTCAAAGCTGTATCTTAGACTGTAAGAGCAAAGAAAGTCTGATAGACTTCTGTAATAGATAAAGAATTTAAGTGACGGTAAAAGTGAACTTTGTCAACAGTGTTCTTTCTTCTTAGGAAAAATGTTACCTCTGACATTAAGTATAGCAAGTTTGAAATTAATCTTTTTGTTTGTTTATTCTCTTGATTGCAAACCTTTTGGTCTCCTTTGCAATTACTCCCTTTATGTTTCGTCAACACCTGATATATTTGGACGTTAAGTGTGGCAAATTCCAAAACCACCCACTGTTGTGTACTCTGAAATATGAGTGGCACGGAGGAGATCAAAAGCTGACCTCCTCCCTTTTAAAGGTCGTTAGCTGTCTATCGATATCGATGTTGATTAAAACAGTTTGTGAGATACAGCTTTGCCTGGGCAGTAGGTATAGAGGAAGTAGATAGCCCAAGTACTACTTCCCTCCTTTCACATCTTGACAACCTTGTTGCTCCTATGGGGAGACACAGTCAGTACATCTGGAATCCAGGAAGGTGAAGGGTTGTGATAGGGATGTTTTTGTTACAATGGGAAACACATTTGAAATTCGAATTCTGCCCGGCTGGCGTCCTAACTGCCTCTTAAACACAATAGTCATGTTTGTTTATTTGGATTACTTTTTCTTTGGCGTGTGTGGTATAAAGTAGAAGGCTTCATGCAGTAAAAAAAACAACCCTAAAAAAGAGAGTGTCTAATATCCTGTGCCCTTGGTAAGGAACTGGCAAGTGTTGAGAAAAGAATCCCAACAGCTCGGTTGCACTATTGCATTGTTTTGTCTCTCCCACGCCTCAAGATACAGAGTGAAATAGTGGCCAACTTTGTGAATACCATGAGTGTTTAGGTCCGTTATGAACTCAAATTTTATTTCCGAACACTAGTCACTTTCCACTAGAAATACACCCTTTGGTTATTAATTTGTGTTTCTGTTATACCTCGATACCTGGATACCTTGAGGTGTCATCTCTTACTCAGTGGTTGACGTGTAATGACCCTCCGTCTTTCACGGTCGCGAGCTGCCGTTGCACATTCCGCCATATCCAGTCCAGTCCATGTTATGTTTTCCATCCATGTTATTCTTTGCCTTTCTCTGACTCCCCTGTCCCACATCGTTTCTGTTATGTAATGTCTTGGGAAGTACTAAGATTTAATATTGGGTCCTCATACCCAACCCAGCGCATCCCCGAGTGGTGGATCGGGGAAAGGCCTCCAGATATGGAGGTTAGCTGCTAAGCAGTCGCGAACCAAATGGGAGATGATCGTGGAGAGTAGAGGGGAACCCTGGTGGCACAGGTGCTTCAATAAATACCTCATACACTTGAAAAAGGGACCATCCTGGCGACGGGAGGCGCCATAAATCCTACCAAAGCCCCCACTGCCTTGTGGGTTGTCAGTGGATGACAAAGGCTAGCAGAGAAACTGTACACAAACCGGCAGTAGGCAACGGGAAACCACTGCTGTAATATCCCAAGAATAGTCATGGAAAAGTAACTTCATTTATCAGCTCACTCGGGACCAGCCCTATTTTTGGACACAAACCCTTAGGACCAGGGTTTTTGGAGGGTTTTCAAAAGATTATTTAGTGGTGTTGTTGTTGGGTTACAAAGCTGAAATTTGGCACACTTACAGATACAACCTTTCTAAACACATGTTGGGTACTTTTTTCCCCACGAATTTTCAAAAACACACCCTTTTTGAGAAATTAAAAAAAAATATTTTCAGCATCCATGATACAACCCTGGCTAGGTTGTTACCTATATTTGCTGTAAAAAGACCCTAAAAGTAAAGATTGATAACTGTTATTGTGCAAGACATGTGTATGCTTGGAATTCTGGTGAAAAAAAGACTACATTTTGCATCAAAACCCACATGGTTGGCACAGACAGAGGTTGAGAGAAAATATGAGAAGCCTCGTGAAAAAGCAAAACAAAACATACCTGCAAAAACATGCAGTTTGACTCACCAAAGGCTTGTGTATCCAATAAGTATATACTCCAGTATTCCAGGGGGCAGGGGGTTTAGTTACAGTACTCCTTCTTTGTGTGGAAGTCCTGAAAGCAGGGGACCACACACAGGGGTATTTTGTGGTATGGGCACCAGAACGACGTTTCTTTCTGCTTCATTGTGGAGCCCGGTTGCTTCGCCTTCTCATAGCACACCTTGCAACTCCCAGGTGGGACGTTTCTTCTTCTCAGTTGAAGGAATGTAGTCCGGGAAGCAACGTGAGCGAAGGCGGTCAAGCTGTGTGGGAGCTGGGTCCTCGGAATCTCCTTCTTGCCTGCCCAAGAATTCCTCCGCCATGCCCTGTCCAAGCTTCTGGATGAACTTGGAAATTGGCAGAGGCTTCCCACCTGTTGACGTCTGTTTCCTCATGAGGGTAAACAGATGCCCAAACAGTTTTTTCCACCATTTCATGGTGCGGCGAATGAAGGGCATATAAACCATGAGTTGGTCGCTGCGGTCTACACCCCTCATGTTGGGAGTGTAATCCTGGACCACCTGCGCTTTCACCTTGGTCTGGGCCCTTGATCTCACTGTCACCCTTCTCCGTGGGTCATGCACCGTTGTCAGAAGGTTGACAGACTTTTTATCCTGCCAACGGAGGGCCACCAGTTTGTCTTGCCGTCGGTGCGCACTCTCTCCAGTCCTTAATTTAGCGCTGCCAAATCCTTCGGCATACCAACACGGTTGGCTCTTACCGTACCAACGATCATGGTGCCGCCTGCGATCATCTCTTGGTACAAAGCTGGACAGATGTAGTAGTTGTCCGTGTACAAAATGTACCCTTTGTTCTTTAGCGGCGTCATCATTCGTCGGCATACATACACGGGTTTGTTGCTGATGGTAGGGTCGCCGGCATAAATTTCAAAGGCACAGACGTTCGCAGAGGCACTCTCGCACAGCTTGTACAACTTGATCCCCCACTTGTTGGGCTTGTCTTTCATGTACACCCTGAACCGCAGGTTTCCCCTCCATGGGCAGATGGCTTCATCGATGACGATTTTCTGTTGAGGGGTCACGAGGTCTCGGAAAGTAGCAGAAAGGGGATCGATAATTGGTCGCAGCTTATGGAGAGGGTCGTGACCAGTTTCTCGGAGGGGGACGTACGTGGTGCTGTCGTTGAGATGCAGGAGGTCAAGAATCTGCATGAAACGGTTCCTTGACATTATTTTGGAGGCGAACGATGTGCGAATGATTTCTGCCGTACTCCAGTAGTCCTTCAGACAGGGTTTCTTGACCAGTGACATGTGCACCCAGATGGTGAAGAACCCCCACAACTCCTTCAGTGTCACTGTGCTCCAATTCTTGTAGAGACTCTCAGGGGGCAGCTGTCTTCGACCCAGCTCCGAAGCAGCGTACATGGTCGTCTCTGTCTTGATAACTCGTAGGATGTCTGCGGTGAAGGAGAGATGGAAAAATTCCAAAGGAGTCACGACATTATCTGATACGTGCACGCCAGGCTGCCCAGTAAAGGGGACCCCAGGAGGAAACCCAGTCAGATCCTCAGTCCAGTCACCTGTAGGTGTAGGTGCAGGTGCAGGTGCAGGTGCAGGTGCCACATCACCAGACGGTCGCATGCGTTTAGGAGGCGGTCCCGCAGACGTTGAAGGTCCTGAGTTGGCATCGTCACTGTCCTCATCAGGACCTGAAAGTATAAACATGAATGTTCGAAAAATTTAGACGACTCAAAATAACAGAGCATCAATTTCAATTTTATAATGCTTGCCTGAGTTAGAAACAGAATCTTAAAATCTACATCTAGATGTAAATAAGAGCAATGATACAGGATCTTGGGCTGACAAAATAAATCTTAGTCTGGACCTGACTTGGTACTACGGAATGACTTCAGTTCTAGATCTCGATCTAGTAGAAAATAGCTTGGTAGTGATTCACAAGCACAAAATAGCCTCCTAGATCTAAATCTAGATTTATAGATCTGTACTAAAACAAAATAAAATCTAATCTAGATCTAGATTGTTATCTTTGTCATGGTGAAATGAGGTACAAGAAGTAAACACAAAAAGTAGGTGTGGCATTGTTTACTTCTCGAAAGTGATAGATCTAGATCTAAACTTGCTCCATCAAGAACAAAATTCTCTCCTCAGTCGTGATAGTCAGTCTCGAGATGCACTGATAACACCCCTGTTATCACCAAGATGTAAATATTTCTCACCTGAATAAAAAAATTCCCCATCAGAATCAGTTTCTTCAACATCGGAATCGAGCGTCTGGAAGAACTCAATCACTTCAGTAGCCTTTTTTCACTGGGGTCGAGACATGATTTGATGTCGATCGAAAAACAAACTTCAAAATCTCCCTCGTTCGTTGAGAGTCACTCTTCTTTAGGTCACCGGAAGAAGGAATGGATCGAGTACCCGGATATTACAATAAACATGGATAATATATGAGATTGGACGATTTTTCGGGTTTTTATTCTCATCACGAGTTAACTCGTGATCGGTCCTCAGGCGACGGGAAGCCATCACGAGATAGGGGGTTCATGATCCAGCTCAGAACTCCCCGCTCGGTAGGGACTGCAACGGACAGCTGGTGGCGCCCGATCGTCATCCAGCTACTGGCTGCAAAAATAAGCATCTTAACATAGCCACATGGAATGTAAGAACAATGTACCGGAAAGGCAAATTAGATAATATAGAGCAGGAAATGGATAGGAAGAAGCTAAATATGTTAGGTCTTTCAGAAGTTAGATGGGAGGAGGCAGGCTTGATTAAAAGAAGATCCAAAACAATTATATATTCAGGAGGAAAAACCCATGAAAGAGGAGTCGGAATTTTATTTGACGAAGCAACAGCAAAGAGCATCAAAGGTTTTTGGGGAGTGTCAGATAGAGTCATCGTGGCTAAATTAGAGGGAAAACCTTTTGACATAGGTGTCATCCAAATATATGCACCAACATCAGAGCTCGACAACGAGGAAATTGGGACATTTTATGAAGACTTTGATAAGGCATTGAAACAGTTAAAATCACAGGATGTAAAGATAGTCATGGGAGACATTAATGCCAACGCAGGAAGTACACGTATAGAAGATATAGTTGAGCCTTGGGGACGGGGTAAAGAGAATGAACGCGGGGAACGACTGGTAGAATGGTGCAGAGAAAATAATGTTATGATATCAAACACCCGATGGAAGTAGAAATCAAATAGACTTCATACTTATTCAGAAACGTTTTAGAAACACAATAAAATCATCTAAATCACTGCCAGGATCAGACTGTGATAGTGACCATGTACCAGTCATGTGTAAAATGGGGATAAGACTGAAGAAACTCAAAAAGTCAAAGTATCAACCTAATTTGATATAGGCCTTTTAAAGACAAATCAAGAAATGAAAGAACGTTTCTACATAGATGTAAGAAATAAATTTCAAGCTTTGGAAAACATTACAAAATCCGAAAAACTATGGAGGAAAATGAAAGACTCAATAATGGAAGCTGTGGAAGAAAATATCCCCCCGAAAGCTAGAAAGGCTAATAAAAAATGGATGACCCAGGGCATATTAAAACTAACGGAAGAGAGAAAAAAGGCAAAATCAAATGTTGAAAAGTACAGAATCTTAAACAAGGAAATAAAGAAAAAATGCAACGAATCAAAAGAAACCGGGATATATGATCAGTGTCAACAAATAGAGAAGAACCAAAACAAAGACAGCAAATTCATGCATTCCAAAACCAAAGAAGTGGGATAAAAGGATGCTCAAATACAGAATGCATAAGATCAAAGGGAGGGGATATTTTAATGGACAACGGGGATGTCTTAAACAGATGGTCAGAGTATATAGAAGAACTTTTCAAAGGTAATAGAGGAGACAAACCGGTAATAGAGAATGAAATAAATGGACCACCAATACTGAAAGCAGAAGTACAAGTTGCCATTAGGAAAGTGAAACAAGGAAAAGCCACAGGGCCAGATAATATTCCTGTTGAAGTGATTGTTGCGCTTGAAGAACTAGGCACTGAAATAACTACAAAGCTCCTAAATGCTATTTATGACAGCGGTGAGATCCCAGAAGATATGGTGAAGTCAGTTTTTATCGCTTTACGACCTAAAACACCAGGTACCACTGAGTGGGATATGCATAGAACAATTAGCATTGTGAGTTATTTTACAAAAATATTGCTGCGAGTAATAATGGGGCGATTGAGAAAAAGTGTAAGACCAGATATATCTAAAACGCAATTCGGCTTTGTTCCTGACAAGGGTACCAGAAATGCTATATTCACCTTAACAATGTTAATGGAAAGATGTATTGAAGGACAGAAAGATCTGTATTTATGCTTCATAGATTATTCAAAGGCGTTCGATAAAGTTAGACATGATGAGCTATTAAAAACACTGGAAAAGCTAGACATAGATGGAAAAGATCTAAGAATTATCAGAAATTTGTACTGGAACCAAAACGCTGCAGTACGAATTAATGGAGAATACAGTGAATATAAGCAGATCAGGCGAGGAGTGAGGCAAGGATGTGTTTTGTCACAAGACCTCTCTGACATGTTCAGTGACACAATCCTTTGAAACATAGAAGAATGTCCAGACCTCAAAGTAAATAGAGAATAACATCAGGTAAGCAGATGAAACGGTTTTAATAGCAGGCTCCGAAAAGGACATTCAATTGCTTCTAGATACTAATGTAAAAGAAAGTGAACATAAAGGATTATTGTTGAATGTAAAGAAAACAGAATGTATGGTAATATCCAAAAAAAAAAGCAGCAAATCATAGTTGTATTCTCATTAGCAAAGGTGAAAAGATCAAACAAGTCCAACAGTTTAAATATCTATGAAAACATATT